AGCTCTAATACCACTTATTGGAACTCGGGCGCTACCAACTCTCCCAAAAGCAATTAGTGTTAGGAAAGGCGCTACCTTTGTACATATATCACATTCCGCCCCCTAGCGTCTACGACATTCGACTGCGACTAGGAAACCTTTCCTACACATCACTGAGACTGAGCTATTTTTGACCCCAACATGTTGGAATCGGGAGGATACATCCATGAAAGTCAGGATTTCGTGTCTTTCTATTTTTGATTAAGAGTATTCAGAATTTCTTCATTGGAGATGAGAATATGGGTAACTTGCGATTACTTCTCTCAGAATGTTAGAAGTTGTCATGGTTGATGTGAATGCATATCATGAAGTAGATTGTCCCCCTTTCCAGATGATTTGTACCCATTGATAATGATATATGGGGTGCTTTGCAAAGTCATGGTAGTTAAGGTTGTGATACATAAAGTGGACATTCTTCATGAGGCGATTTGGTCAATGAAATTTTAGGAGTAATAACACCACAACCCTATGGCAGGTGCCAAATTGTTTTGGTAAATAAATAGCCAATGGTGATTTCAACCAATTTATTCAATATGTTCAAGTTATGGTGCCATAATTACTTAGAAATGAAACAATGAAAATGATGCACATAAGATGTATGAGGAAAGCCCTTGATATTAGGAAAGATCTCTAATATAAAACCTCAAGATCTTACAATCATTAAGTTGTCTTATATATTTTATTGATTTAATGGACTAGTATAATGTAAGTGAGCTTTATTGATAGCTGCTAGTTAGTGAGAGTGTTTTGTGTGTGTACATATATTGGAATAGCTCTTTATTTATACATGACTGTTCCTAAAAACTATTAACTACTTTGCTAAAAATCTACCTTTATCTTCTCCTTTAAGATCTAAGTAGAGTAAGTCTTTTATTTTGAACTTCTCATGAGGGTATCGCTTTGACTAGGTCTATGTTGACGTTTTCAATACATGATTCAAAGTAGAAGGAATATTATAAAATAGAAAATAGATTAGTCAATAACCTTTATGATCGTGACCAAGATGTCTGTCAAGATCTTGTATGGTATGTTTCTTTGAGTCTTGCACAAAATGTTAGTAATAAAATCTTACCCATACTAAATATATTATTTATTTCATTTTATTTTAATATATTTTTTTGTAAGTGATCACATATGTTCATGCATAATTGGTAGTACAATAAAGTTGATGTTGTGTATACTTTTAGAGGATATTGAACAATCTAATTTGGGTAGATACCAAAATGATTTCTTTCCTAAATTTTAAATTTTTTCTTGGTAAACATTCTTGTGATGATGTTCTTAAAATGATTTCTTCCGTGGGTTTAACATCTTGCTTGTATATTTGTTGAAGGGTATGATTTACACGTTCATCAAAGTTTGTAACTTATTTGAAGGTTTATTGAAGGGGATTGATTTCTTGCATGGTCGATTTGTTGAAGGGGTTTATGAATAATGATGGATCTAAAGGCTAGAAAAAACATTAGAGGTTGATCAAATATGAGTGGGACGAAGGTTTAGTTTTAAGTTCTTGTTTGTTTGTTTGTTTTTTTTTTAATTTTTTTATGGTAGGTTCAACTATTCAAGATTTTGATTTCTTGTTCTTGTTTTATAAGGATTACATTCCTTGTTTTTATTCCATTTGGTTGCTTCAACATTTCCACGATTGGATTTGATTTTATGCTTGATTTGGGATGAAGAAAACTAGAATGGAGAAATCATAAGTAGCATATTGGATGTTAATTCTAGGGTTGATTTTGTGTGGCAAATAATAAAAAAATTATACATCGTATGCAAACACTATGTTTAGCACATCACAACGAGCTTAGAGCTTGGAGTCGAGTTGGGTAAAACTCTAAATGGGGGATATACCAGTGTTACCTCCCTGAACACCTTTTCTTGGTGTGTGGAACCGCTAAATATACATGATGTGTGTGTGTGTGTTAGAAAACCTTATCTTCAACCCATATTGTCTATTCCATACACGTGCACAACATGCATTAAAATTATACTAACGAATGAGTTGAATTCCATGTGTTGTGGGTTGAGAGAGATAGAGTTGACGAAACAGAAAAATGATGATGTGGCGCCTAGGTGACATGTATGTTGGGAGAGATGGACTCCCTCCAGACTTATAAGCTGATTTATTTTTCAAACTTTTTTAGATTGTCATGTTTGACAAACAAAAGAGTTGTTTATCAACTAACTTTTTTAGAAGCTACTCAAAATGGTGTTCCAATGAGCTTTTGAAGTTTTTTTTTTCCTTTTAAATTTTACAAAAAACAACATTTATCAAGATTGTAAAAGTCGCTAGGTGGATCTAAATCGGTCTATAAACGATTAGAGATTAGTCGGTGACTAGTCAAGAACTCTAAATTGCAAATCAATTAAATTTAATATAAATAAATATAACTAATATCATACAAAGTAGGTAAATATGACTAATATGATAACAAAATAAGTTGGTATGATTAATATAACACCAATAGTTCTTCAAATAGTTTATTTATTAAGGTAAATTTTCTTTAAGATGTAAAGATTTATCGGCTTCAACAACTTCACTAGTTTTCTAGGCAGTGGTTAAATGCTAAACACCGCATAGTTAGTTGCATACTGCCTGGCGGATTAATCAAAAAGTAATAAGGGATTGTCGAGATTTTTATAACATCGACATTTACTATTTATATAACACTAATTTTTATACATATATTTTTATGCAATTTTATATGTGACAATTATCTTATTCAATTGGTTTTTACGGGATATTATTTTTTAACAAGTAGTTTATTGACTACTATCTAGCTTTTTAGCCATTACTACCTTTTTCAGTTGTTCATAAAACATAGTCTTAATCATCGAAAATAATTCATTCATAAATGAAGAAAATCAAAAATCAAGTACATGGGTACAATTTAAAATAATTCATTCATAAATGAAGAATATCAAGTACATTGATCTTATTTTCTAAAATTAAAATAATAGTGTGATTAACAGTGAAACTACCAAAAATATAATGATTCATATATAATTTATTACTAGTTTACAACCCGTGGGAATCACAGGTAAAATATTTTTAAAATTGTATTAAATTAATAAGATTTTAGTTTCTTTTAAAACTTTATTATTGATCATTGAAAATTAATATATATAATATATATATATATATATATATATATATATATATATATATATATATATTTGATTAGCTGATATACATTATCTATGCCAAGACATTTAATATGATTATGATTTATGAAACATAATATAAAGTTGAATTATTTGTAAACAAAAACACAATCAATAATGAAAATGACATTGATATATGAAAAATTAAAAATATAATTATATTATTGTCCTTGTGGCACAATTTATTGCA